GTGTGTGTGTGTGTGTGTGTGTGTGTGTGTGTCTCTGTGTGTGTGTGTGTGTGTCTCTCTGTGTGTGTGTCTCTCTCTGTGTTTGTGTGTGATTATTGTACTGCTCCTGTGCCGAACAGAAGAAGAATTATGAGCGTCTGCAGAAAGCTCTAGACAGTGTGATGTCTATTCGGGAAATGACACAGGTACTGTTTTTAGTCAGTCTACTTGCTAAAAAATGATCCTTAAATCTTTATAAAATATCTTTCCCACAACATTCCTGTGGAATATCCTTATTAAATCATACAAAGACTAAATTAAAGTTTGAAAAAAGAATGTGCATGTACAAAAATGATATTGATAAATGAGTTGTCAGAGGCTGTTTTTCTGAAACTGTATGTGTATTTTCAGGGCTCGTATCTGGAGATTAAGAAGCAGATGGATAAACTGGATCCTCTGGCTCATCCGTTACTGCAGTGGTGAGTTAATAAGCAACAGGCCAGGCATTACAGTGATTTTACCACAGTAAGTGTGTTTAGGCCTTTCTGATGGTTTATTTTATCTGTCTCTCTCTGCAGGATCATATCCAGTAACAGGTCTCATATTGTGAAGCTGCCGCTCAGTAGGGTAAGATGAACACTTTTAAATGCAAGAACAGCTTAACTTTTATAAGCTTGCCTTTGTTCATTTCACTTCTGTGTTTTGCTGTTTATAGCAGCTGAAGTTCATGCACACATCTCATCAGTTTCTGCTGTTGAGCAGCCCGCCTGCAAAAGAAGCTCGATTTCGCACCGCAAAGAAACTCTATGGCAGCACCTTTGCCTTCCAGTGAGTCACAGTGACCTGCAGAAACACACGCACGTCACAGAGAATCATACTCACGCCAGAGCCGATCACATCACTGTCTGCACTCGCTGAACGACGCAACCAACCCAAATGCTCCGGTTAGAATTAACAAAGCTGTTGTACGTTGCACTGAATATTTGGTGTGGACTTTGATCAAATAAATGCAGCCTCAGTTTTGTTTCAAAAACGAAAATATTAGAGACTTCTTTCAAAAACAACAAACTAGAATGCCTCCATTATAATCAAAAAACTGTCTGCAGTAAATGCAAGCGATGTAGTGCAACACACTACATGTTGCAGCAGGAACTGTTAGAAATATAATTTGATTACAAACTACATTTTGATTACAAACTACATTTTGAGTTACAAATTACATTTTGATTGCAAACTACATTTTAATTACATTTACATTTAGTCATTTAGCAGACACTTCTATCCAAAACGACTTACAAATGAGGACAATAGAAGCAATCAAAACTAACAAAAGAGCAACAATATGTAAGTGCAAATGACAAGTCTCGGTTAACCCAATGCAGTACACATAGCAAGGTATTATATATATATATACACACACACACACACACATACACAAAAAAAAGAAAAACAAGTAGAATAGAAAAAATAGAAAGCTAGTGTTAGTTTTTTTAAATAAAAAAGAAGATAAATAGATAAAGTAGAATTAAAATAGAATAGAAAGTGCTAGAGTTAGAGGGTCAAATAAAGATGGAACAGATGTGTTAGTCGTTTCTTGAAGATGGTTAAGGACTGGTCATTCCACCAGGATGGAACAGTTAATGAAAAAGTCTGTGAAAGTGATTTTGTGCCTCTTTGAGATGGCACAATAATACGCCGTTCACTTGCAGAACGCAAGCTTCTAGAAGGCACATAACTCTGAAAGATGTGTTTGACAGTTTGTGGTGTGGCAAATTGTGCACTGAGTTGATTACAATTACATTTTGACAACAAAAATTACATTTTGATTGCAAACTACATTTTGATTACAAATTACATTTTGATTACAAACTACATTTTGATTACAAACTACATTTTGCTTACAAATTACATTTTCATTACAAATTACATTTTCATTACAATCTACATTTTGCTTTATTGAATATAATGGGAGGATTCTAGTTTGGTGCATCATTCAGTGTAGCAACTGTATTTTTTACTCCCTTTTTTTGTGCTAAAGATCATTACTTTTAGAATGGCTGCATTGTACATGAAAAAGGGACAAATTGGGATCCCAAAGCACAAATCTGATCTTCTATTGAGAGATTTATATTATCCAACATTAAATGAATGTCAAAATTAGTTTTAAGTGGTGTTTGCGCTCAATTTTCTTTTCTTATTTGATTGAATTCACCAAGCAAAGTCATGCAATAAAGTGAAAATGTTTTTATAATCAGTTTCAATTTAGTTCATCTTAGAAAAAAATATGAATTGTAGGTTAAGAATGAAAATGTGACATTTTATAATAGTTTCAGGGCCTGTTTTAAACCTCATTCATTTAAATCTGCCAAGAAATCAGATTTATAAGCTGCTGATCAGGTTACTATTCAGAGCTCAGTGAAATGTTTCCTATGATCCCGACAGACCACCAGAGAAAGAATATCAAGAGCATCAAAAATAATGACAGGTTTATATCGGGTGCAGACTTATAAATGTGGTATAAATTTAAACACCACTGGAAAACACGTCAGGTTTTTTTGTGCTATTTCTGTGCTTTTTGTGTTATTTTTATGGACACATTTCCACTTTTAGACCTTGCGTGAAATAAAAGTCATTCAAAAACAGCCAACAAAAGACTAGCATAACTCAGAAATATCTCCAGACATCTGTGTTTAAAAATACACTTGTGCCAGATTTAACGAAAAGCTGCGTTACATAATACTGTACAGGTCATCAGATTTTTTCAGTCACACTTATAAAACTGAATTTTGACATCTTCTGAACAGTGAGTGGTGCATGACCGTGCAAAACTCACAACCACGATACAAGTTGCTAAGGTGTCTTAGGTAGTTTGCTTATTGGTCCAAAGAGTCCGGCACCATCAATTCTCTGTGTTATTCTGGTCTGTGGGATTTTATCACTTGTTTCTCTCCTTCTAGTGGCTCCCATATTGAAAACTGGCACTCGGTTCTGAGGAATGGACTGGTCAATGCCTCTTATACTAAACTGCAGGTATGTAAAAGCCATCAGTCAGCTGACCTCAGCTCATGTTCTCTGCAGTCCAGATGATCTGTTCTGATCGTAATGGATGTCCGACTGCATTTATGTCTGGAATCAGGTCCTTTTCTGACTTCAGCCAACACTATTCTACTTCCTGTAGTAAAGGATGGATGGTGTGTGATTGGCTGCATTCAGAATGGAATGCTAGCTTACTGCTTACTTCACAGTATGTGCTGTATAGTGCTGACTATGTAAGAGTAGTAAGTGAAACGGAATGCAACATTTGAAACTGTAATCTGCAACATTGTTTCACTCAACCTCATTGTGTTGCATTTTAATTCTCACTGCAAAAATGGTTTCCTTTTTCAGTATTTTTCTCTTGTTTTCCAGTACAAATATATAAACGTTCTTAAGTCAAGATACAAAATGACATAAAGATAACAAGCGAAATTAAGCGACTTTAGGTTTAAAATGAATGGGGTCAGAAAAATGAACTTAATTATGTGACCTAAACTGATTGATGTTTTTTCTTGTCACTTGCATTTGATGATCAGAAAACAGGCTTCTTTTCGTTTTGCTGTTTAAATGCATGTTTAATTCTTAGCGAAATGATTTCCTTCTTCAGTGTTTTTGTTTTTTTATTCTAGTACAAATATCTCAACATTCTTAAATCAAGATACATTTACTTGAAGTAAAATTACATAAAATAATAAGTCTTGTATTCTGAGAAATTGATCAAAATGAAGTGACTTTATGTTTAAAACAAGGAAAAATACCAGTCAGTGGGGTCAGAAAAATGAACTAGTTTATTTTTCTGAATGGTCAATATTTTTTCTTGTTTCAAGTATAACATTTTGTACGTTTTTCAAAAAATAAGACTTGTCTTTTTACTGTTATTTTGTATCTTGATTTAAGAATGTTTAGATATGTGTGCTGGAAAACAAGACAAAAATTCTGAAGAAGAACATGATTTTTTGAAGTGCAGTGAGCAGTTTAATCCAATTTAGTGTAAAAATGTATGAACTTTTGTCAGACTGATCAAATAATGTTACAAATCATGGCAGATTTTACTTCTGGTTTGTTCATCACACTGGAAATGGAAGGTGAAGTTGCATTGCATTGTTGGATACAGAACATTATGGTAGTATCCTATAGTGAACAGTTAAAATAAATGTCGTTCTCAAGCTTTGTTTCTTTGCACTTCACTGAAGACTGTGAGATCAGTGGCATTTGATGAGGTTTCTAGAGAGTTTGTGTTCAACATTGAAGATGAAGTTTACCAGGAAAACAACAAAATCCTCCTGGAATGATCTTTTTCTATAAGAACTTTCCATCTTTAATTCCATGTCAGTCATTTTCATGTCATCTGGTGCTTGTTGATGCTTTTCTCCTGGAAAGACGTCCATCATTTCATTCAGTCATACATCTATAAACTCTCATGAGACTGAACGTTAATTTCGCTGTATAATGCATGTTCATGCATCTTCAATGGAAACCATCATCATCATCATCATCACCTGTCTTCTTCCTAAGTGCTTCACTGGTTGTTTCTCATGCTTTCTTCTTCATTCATTGAATGCATCCCATCAGACGTCTCTGTCTTGCTGTGATTCTTTGGGCCACAGCTCAGATGTGAAAGCGTTTCTGGCATGTTTCTCTTCTTTTACGGGGAGCGTGTGCAGAGCGTGTAACTCTCTCCTCCTCTTCTTCTCTTTCATCAAAGCTGCATGGAGCAGCGTACGGGAAGGGCATCTATCTGAGCCCCATATCCAGTATTTCCTTTGGATACTCAGGTACGATCCAGACCCGCGTCTTCCGTGCTTCGCTGTGGGTTCTTCATCACATCTCAGTCTCTCTCTCTCTGTAACAAACACCTCAGTCTGTTTTCTGATCCATATGAATGCTGCTTTGTTGTGCGTGGACACTGTTTTTGAATCTGTGAATTTTTTTTGTTGTGTGCTGAATTGCTTTTCCTTTTCCACACTGCAAACAATCATTCTCTTTATCGGTATTTTGTCTAAAACTATCCTTAAAACAACATACTTTTACTTCAGAAGCGAATTTGGGAAGGGCTAGTTTTCAGTGGTTATTTTTCTTGTTAGCAAATTTCTCCTTTTAAGTCTAATCTGCTCTACCTTTTGTTAATTTCTTCCACTTAAAACATTGATTTTCTTCTTCAGAATATTTGCATTGTTTTTGCAGTGCAAATATCTAAATATTCTTAAATCGTTACATTAATTTAAGAGGCAAAATGAATTAAGGCATTAATAAATATCTAAGATATTAAGTCTTGTTTTCCGAAGAATATAATTGTAAAAAAGTACAAATGTAAATAAATAAAAAAAATCTGCCAGTTAGGTAATAAACATGAAATTTATTTAAAGGGAAAACAAGATTATTTTTCTGACCCCATTGACTGTTTTTTTTTTCTTTCTTTTTTTAAGCATAAAGTTGCTTAATTTTGAATGATTCTATTATTCTATTAATAGTATTAATTCAGAAAATAATACTTATTTAATGTCATTTTGCTTCTCAAGTGATTGCAACTTAATTAAAAAAAAAAAAAAACAAGACAAAGATATTGAAGACATTTTTAGAGAAAAAATGTGTAAAATAATAATAATATATACAAAAAAGTCATAAAATCTCATGCAATGCTGCTTCTCAAGTAAATGTTTGTAAGGATGTTTTACTGGTGAAAAGGCAAACTGACTATACAAGAAATACTTAGTAAAAACAAAAAATACTGACCCCAAAAAATTTTTGCAGTGCATGAAGACGTGCCAGTGCTGTTGCCAAAGTCGAGGTCCAATCTGATCTCGCAAGTTTCCAATGAACAACAACAACTCAGACTAGTTAGTAGCTGGGTTTAGTGTTAATTGCACATAGAAAAATAACCAACAACAAAATCAACCAAGCTGTATTAATAATACTGTATAAATGTATAAATAATAAATTATAGAAACAAATATATACTGTATACATAGATATAAAAAAAAGATTATATTCCAAGAAACAAGAGTGTTTGAATGCAAGTTACATAAAAATGCAGTTATTTTCGTGGACTGATTCTGTTTTGGCCTCATTTGAGCACCGGCATCATTTCACTGGAAAAGAGATGAATATTAGATCAAATGATGGATTTATTTCTTCTCTTTTGTATGTGTTCAGGAATGGGGAAGGGCCAGCATCGCATGCCCACTAAAGATGAGTTAGTCCAGCGATATAATCGAATGAACACAATGCCACAGGTACGACAGAAACATTAAAACGTTTGACCTGTGCTGGGCGTCTCAGAGCAGTAACTGTGTGTTATTTGTCCTTCAACAGAGTCGCCCCATACAGTCACGTTTCCTCCAGAGCAGGAACTTAAACTGCATCGCTCTCTGTGAAGGTAAAACATCTCAGATCTCACCTGCTCTAACAATTCACTGAGTTTTGGCTTGAGTAGAGAAAAAAAACATTGATAATTGTGACCCTGGAGCACAAAAGCAGTCTTAAGTCGCTGGGGTATATTTGTAGCAATAGCCAACAATACATTGTATGGGTCTTTTATGCCAAAAATCATTAGGATATTAAGTAAAGATCATGTTCCATGAAGATATTTTGTAAATTTCCTACCGTAAATATATCAAAACTTAATTTTTGATTAGTAATATGCATTGCTAAGAACTTCATTTGAACAACTTTAAAGATGATTTTCTCAATATTTTGATTTTTTTTGCACCCTCAGATTCCAGATTTTCAAATAGTTGTATCTCGGCCAAATATTGTCCTATCCTAACAAACCATACATCAATGGAAAGCTTATTTATTTATGATGCATACATCTCAGTTTCAAAAATTTGAACCTTATGACTGGTTTTGTGGTCCAGGGCAGAGAGAGAGAGAGAGAGAGAGAGAGAGAGAGAGAAATCACAGACATGTATAAATTATGTATATACAGAAATTATTATAAATATGTGCAAGGGGAAAAAGTGCACAAAATTGTGACAGGCAGTTTGATAAATGATTGAATTTACATATTGCATATGTAAATGTATTGCACAGTGTATCTATAGCCGTAGTTAATTAGTTACCATTAGTTACTAGTGTTATTTTTAGTATTATTTATGTATTTTTATAGTATTTATTAATTAGCTTTTATTTGTATGTATTTGGTTTTCATTTTGTTATGTGCTTTTGTAATTTTTATTTTATCTCCAATTAGCTTTATTTTTTATTTCAGTTTTAGTTTTAGTCATTTTAATACTTGAACGTGTTTTATTTCAGTTAGTAGCCAAGGCAACATTTTACATTTTTATTTGTTTTCAAGTTCTTCATATTATATTATATTTCGATGAACGAAAATTGCAAGTTTTATTGCAAAATGAATGAAAAAAGTTTTAGTTAACTAATAGGCTACTTTCAAGATAAAACCAATTACAAAACATGAATGTTGTAATTTCAAGTATTGCATATGAACTATTATTTTAATGTGATGTGTGTCTCAGGTATGAGGACGGTCAGGTGGGAGATGCAAACATCAACACACAGGAGCCCAAGATCCAGAAGGAGATCATGCGTGTGATCGGCACCCAGATCTACTCCAGCTGAGGCCGTTTCTTTCCTCCGCTCTATCCATCTCTACTTTCTTCCGTCCTGTCTTTCGCATGGGATGAGATGAAGGGAATCTTCACGATAAGCCCCGCCCACAACCCTTTGACTTCCCACAGAGCTGCTGTCAGTCAAAAGCAGACAGGCGCCTGATTGGACGAGACGGAACTCGCGTGAAGTCGCATCTGTCGCTCGGATCGTTTCTCAAACTAAAAATCTGTACACGTAAAAACAAGAAAGTCATTTAAAATGTTTTTTGCGTAGTAAATGATGAGTCTGTGCGTTTTATTGTGTTCGTATCTTCTTCGTCTTTCTCCTCCGCTGCTCTTTCTGACTGATGACGTATTAATATCCCAGATGTATTTATCTCTTGAGTTTCCTTCTGAAATTAATGTCCCGTCTTTTGTTGCTCGGCTCCGCTTACACGATTTATCGTTTCTCATGTTTATGCTTTTTGGTGACGCCATCTGAAAGCTTTATTTCCATTCTGCTTGTGGATGATTTCCACAAAGCTCTGCAGTATAGGGTGACGTACACTAGCAGTCAAACATTTGGACACATTATTTATTCTATTTTCACATGTTGCAATAATAGTAAAGTGTGCAAACTCTGAAATCACACAAATGTAAGTCAAAACTCTTTTAAAGTTGCACTTGTCTCTTCTTCCCTGTCGTGACCAAAGCTTGAAATCAGTCCTCGGCCGATTTGACGATTGCATTTTTAGGCACTCGTAGTGCTTTACATAAAAAGGCTTTAAAATAATCGTAAAATAATTACAATAGATGCATAATAAATAAAAATCATGCATCAGAAAAAAAAGATAAAAAATTGATCTAGTTGTATTAAAACCATTAAGAATTCAATTTAAAAAGTTGCACGCTGTTCACGACAAAACAAAAATATCAGTAATAAACCTGATTCTAAGAGCCTAGATTTAAATATATTTATTATTAAACCTGATTCTGAATCATTCAATTGAAAGATTTATGACAGTCAGTCATTGTTTGTGGATGTCATAAAAATAAAATCAAGTAAAATAAAATTCTAAACTGCATTTATTTTGTTGCAAGTTTAATTTTTTGTAATATTAGAAAATGTATTTGAATTTTAGAGACATGCCACTTGTCGTCCAGTGTGTGACCATGCATCTTTATGATTTGTTTTAGTAATATTATGAACATAACTTACTAATCATAACCTGCCAATAGGGCTAGTGAGTTATGTGTTAACCGGCATGGTTAATTTTGACCTGTATTTGACAGGTCAGCAGGTGTTGCATGGATAAATCATTTATACGATAGTCCATAAAAAAATAATTGTCAATTTAAAAAAAAAAAAAAAGAGAGAGAATTTCCTTTTTTAAAAAAAAAAAACCATATGCACGGTATGTTTTTGATTTCAGTCATTTAAGCAGATGTTTTCATACATCAATGGAAAGCTTATTTATTTATGATGCATACATCTCAGTTTCAAAAATTTGAACCTTATGACTGGTTTTGTGGTCCAGGGTCACATATTGCTTAATAAATTCTCTTGTGTTGGGTTAAATCCTGTTTGTCAGCCGAGACTGATGTATGAGATGATTGTGTTTCTGTGTTGACAGTGATCACATCCAAAGACCTGCAGAAACATGGCAACATCTGGGTGTGTCCGGTGTCTGACCACGTCTGCACACGCTTCTTCTTCGTGTGAGTGTCTCTCTGATTGATCACGGCAGTCTACGGAAGCCCCAAGAGGCCATGCACTTGTTTTCTCTTGTTTTCTTGTGATCTCAGTTTATTTTTATTATGAACTTGTCGTGACAAAATGTTATGCATGTTAAATGGCTGTTTTCTGATGATCTAGACATAGAAAAGTTGTTTTTATGACTTGTGTGCTAGAATAAAATAAATAATAATAATGTTATTTTAATATCCTTATTGTAGTTTTTTATTGATTTTTTTAATTGAATTTTTATTTTTAGATTTTCCATTAATTTTAATTTTTTTTTTTTTTTTTTGTGCAGTTAGTGTAGTTTTTTGTTATTTTATATATGTCTAAATCATTTGTATTAATTTCATTTTTAGTTTTTGTTATTTTGTTATGTTGACAATCGAAATCATGAAAAAATGTCAAAAACTAAAATCTACTATTTTATGTCGAGATCACAAAAAAAGAGCTACACTGAAAAAAACCCCAATATTTTAATTAGGATTTGTGTCTTGTTTTTCAATACAAATATTTAAACATTCATAAATCAAGATACATTTACTTGAGAAGCAAAATGACATGAAAAATGTGTCACAGTTTAGTTTGGGGTCAGAAAAATAAACTTAATTCAAAAGAAAAACAAGACATTCTTGCCCCACTGGCTGATATTTTTCTCATTTTAAGCAAAAACTCACTTTATTTATTTATTTTTGTTCAAAAAACAAGCAGACTTAATATCTTCTGTCATTTTGCATCTCAAATAAATGTATCTTGATTTAAGAATGTTTAGACTGAATCATTCAATTGAAAGATTTATGACAGTCAGTCATTGTTTGTGGATGTCATAAAAATAAAATCAAGTAAAATAAAATTCTAAACTGCATTTATTTTGTTGCAAGTTTAATTTTTTGTAATATTAGAAAATGTATTTGAATTTTAGAGACATGCCACTTGTCGTCCAGTGTGTGACCATGCATCTTTATGATTTGTTTTAGTAATATTATGAACATAACTTACTAATCATAACCTGCCAATAGGGCTAGTGAGTTATGTGTTAACCGGCATGGTTAATTTTGACCTGTATTTGACAGGTCAGCAGGTGTTGCATGGATAAATCATTTATACGATAGTCCATAAAAAAATAATTGTCAATTTAAAAAAAAAAAAAAAGAGAGAGAATTTCCTTTTTTAAAAAAAAAAAACCATATGCACGGTATGTTTTTGATTTCAGTCATTTAAGCAGATGTTTTGTGTCCAAACGTTTGACTGCTGGTGTTCCTCCTTATTCTGTTGGTTCTCTGGCGTTTGTGAGAAATGTTAAATGATTTGTTTGAAGGTGCTGCACTGATTCTCTCATGCACCTTTTCTTCTGGATCTGTGTTGGACATGCAGGCCTGATGGAGGCTGTAAATAATGAAGGACAGGAGGAATGCTGTCAGCAGGTCTTTGGATGCTCTGGATCTGGTTTCTGATGTTTCTGATGTGGAGCAGACCCCTCAGATCTCCTGCTCTTAGGTCATGCTGTATGAACTGCGGTTGTACAGGTGGAATTGATACTGAACTCAATAAATAAAGAGAGGTTTTGCACAATTTTAGATGCTTAATTTCTCTCATGTTCATTGATGCAGATGATGGGTTTTTTCCATGCAGTGTTGTCTTTTTTACGTCAGGTGCCGTGAATGTCGCTTTAGCAATGGATTCTCAGGTAAATCTGTGATGAACAGTTGCTGTGTTTTGCAATATTCACTTATCATCAGCATTAGATTAGAAATATCCTATTCTCTCTGCTTTACAGTCTTCATTCTTTAAATATTTGAAGTTTGGGAGCATTATCATCGTCTAGTGAGCAACTGATATATCAGCTAATTGGTTAATTGGTCAACAAAAATGCATCAGTTTCATCAGTGAGTAATACACATATTTTCTTTTCAGATATTTTGAGTGTATTTTCACTAAATATTGTATTAGTAAATTTATTTAGTAAAATATTGTGTAATTTCTTAATCAGATATTTTTTGTGTGCATTTTCACAAAATATTGTGAAATTAAGTATTAAATAAAATGTTCTTAGTTTAAATTGTAAAGTAAAAATAGTATAATTTGTTTAGTAAAAACTTTGGTTGTTTTTTAGTAATTCAGATATTTTTGAGTACATTTTCAGTAAATATGTAAATTAAATATTAAATTACAACTTATAAAAGTATAATCAATATCATTTGTTTCATAAAAAAATTGTAGTAAAAACTTTAGTATTTTTTTTTCTAGTAATTCAGATATTTTTGAGTGAATTTCCAATAAATAGTTTAAATAAAATATTAAATTACATTGTATTATTTTTAGTAAAAATAATTAGTTAAAAAAGTACTTTTTTAGTAATTCGATTTTTTGTGTGTGTGTATTTTCCCTAAATATTGTGTAAATTAAATATTAAATTACATTTTCTTGGTATAATTTTAGTAAAAAAAAAATAGTTTTTAAAAAATTCTGTGTAATTCAGATCATTTTAGTTGATTTTCAGTCAATATTGTGTAAATTAAATATTAAATTACATTTTTTTAATTTAATTATATATTTATTATTTTGTGTTTTATACAGCAGTTCCAGTTCACTAATTCATTTGTTTACTGCAGTTGTTTTCAATGAGGGAGCTAAATTAAACATCATATCTGTGTGTATAGTGTCTACAGAATCAAAAAGAGCTTCATTGCCAAGTGTTTACACACACAAGCAATTCGTCTTGGTGTGAGATACTCAGTTTTAACTTGTGTATTAAGCTGTTGTATAAAAGAAATATCACACTCAATTCAATTCAATATGTGCTTTATTGGCATGACAATTGTTACAATGTATTGCCAAAGCATAGTGTTTACATTGAATCTAGAACAGATATATATGCAACAAAAACATGCATGTATATACATTTAAAAAGTAAAACTAATTAACATTCAGACATGATGCTGGTCTGGACATCAGTCATGTGATCACCAGCGAACCAATCACAGTCATGATTATTCCAGAACAACAGCACGACTGCGTATGACTGTCATAAAGTATCAAGCATTCTGTCGGTCAAATATGTGTCCCTGCAGCACAAAAGCAGTGTTAAGTCGCTGGGGTATATTTGTAGAAATAGCCAACAATACATTGTATGGGTCAAAATTATACATTTTTCTTTTATGCCAAAAATCATTAGGATATTAAGTAAAGATCATGTTCCATGAAGATATTTTGCAAATGTCCTACCGTAAATATATCAAAACTTAATTTTTTATTAGTAATATGCATTGCTAAGAACTTCATTTGAACAACTTTAAAGATGATTTTCTCAATATTTAGATTTTTTTGCACCCTCAGATTCCAGATTTTCAAATAGTTGTATCTCGGCCAAATATTGTCCTATCCTAACAAACCATACATCAATAGAAAGATTATTTATTCTGCTTTCAGATGATGCATACATCTCAATTTGGAAAAATTTATCCTTATGACTGGTTTTGTGCTCCAGGGTCACATATCAGAATGACTATAGAATAGAAAAACTTCATCCAGTGTCCAGCAGCTGGTCTCCACTAGAGGGGACTCAAGCGCTGTAAATGTGTGTCTGTCTCTCTCTCTCTCTCTCTCTCTCTCATGTGTTTCAGGGCATCCTGGGGTCAGACAGGTGTGTGTCTCTTCTGTCTGTACTTGAGTCTCCTTCTCTCTCTGCTCTCGTTCTCTGGCAGCGTCTTGAACACACACTGTCATGAAATAAAGATCTGAACAAGCAGCACATTCACAAGCCTGCTTGAATGATGGAGGATGTGATTATCAATGTGCTAAACCTATCAGAGGAGAGAAAAAGGGGTTTATATTTTAATTATGTGGCCTTATGAGACTAAATCGGTGGTTTAACAACCTTTTAGACTCTAAGGCGAACATTGGCCAACACAATGTTCAGAGACATAAAGTAAGATATTTACGCCAGCATTACTGCTGTAATTATGACAAAGCTGCTTGTTTTCCAACTTTTCATTCATAATCGATTCATTTATATATATATATATGAATTAATCACAATTCATTTTGTGATTCCAGAAATTTCAATATATATGTTCAAAAAAAAAAAGGTGTAATTTCAATTTAGATCTCATTAATACAAATTAATTAAATTCTTTAATGGTATTAATACAAATATTAATAATAAATAGAATTAAAATATTAAATAGTAAAATAATTGTAAATTATTAATAAATAATGTAATTTCACATCTTGATTGTATGTTTTTTAGGGTCTCAATTAGACTATTTTAAGCTATTAGTAATAATATTGTATTAATAAAAAGTTGTAAAATAATACTTTATAGTTTCAGTTTACATCTTCATATTTTTATCATTTCAGTTATATTAGATTTCAAAATAATAATAATATTAATAGAATATCAATATTATCTATTAATAATACTTTACTATTCATCATTTATTAAATAATTTCATTCATAAATTATTAATATTTAAATATATTTAAACATATTTGAGAGAGAGAGCAGATGCTCCGCAGCTCTTTGTCTCTCTGCTCATGTCATCCATTTCTTTTTTATTTCTCACTTAATCAGTTTTGTCGTGCTTTGTGTCGTGTTCGCTGAGAGACTGTGTGTATCTCTCTGAAGCATTGTGTTTGTGTCTTTGTCTTTGCTTTAATTCATTTTGGATTAATTCCGTCGTCTTCAGAGACGATCCTAATTCCCTATTATTTCCACTCCGCAAACACAGTCTTATCCATCAGTCCCTTTTATTTCCCTTTTCTTTCTTTTTTTGCTCAGACATCACATGAGGTTAGTGATCTGAACCAAACACTAGGAGTTGAAGTTGAGTGTAAGATCAGTGTTTGTGGTCCAGACATGAATTATTCCTCAAATCATGTGTTTTTACTTTAGTAAGTGATCAGATGCAGCATGACGTGATGAAGCAGGTGTCACAGGTTCACTCGTTTAACACTCGTCTGGTGAACAACGAGGACCATCTCTGCCTTTCTCTGCTGCTTTATACTTCTGCTCAA